ACTCCGAAAAGTGTTGTGCAATTACTTTTGACCCCGTTCCAAAAATCCCTACAAGTGCTTACAGTTCATTTGTGCTCTAATCTTGAGACAATTTAGCTAAGTCATGCAATTCAGTACACATATACATACCTACATATACGTATATATGTATAGATATGTATATAAATATGTAATCTTGAGTGTATGTAAATTCAAAGCTTTGCTGCACGCTGTTGCACTTGTCTGCACACAAACGCATGAACAGAGGGGCGGCAGGCCCCCTTACCTCCACCAACCCCTCCGGCTGTGGGGAGCTGCGACTACGCTACGCATGAATTGCTTGTATAAGAAAAAGAGAGTGAGAGAGAGAGAATCGAAAAGACAACAAATAAATGCTAAAGAGTGCCGAGTAAAACACGTGTTTCGAATTAAATGCAAGCGTCTTGCCCCTGCTCCGCCCTCGCTCTGCCCTTCACATGCTGCGTGCAGAATTTCTAATAGAAATTTCTTTGGCACTCTCCTTTCGTCTCTCTCTCCCTCTCTCTCTTTCCCTCCCCTCCCTTCTCTATGTCTTTCGTTCTTTTTATTTAATAGCGACATTGTCGATGTGCGTTTTTACGCCCCTTGCTGAAATGTTAACTGCAATTGCCCTGCCAGAGACAAACATATAAAAAAAACGATCTGCTAGAATGCAAAAAATTGGTAAGCTCGATCATGGAATACTCTGCCATTTCAGGAACATTTCTTTAAGAAAAAGATCAGATTTAGAATCTGGTTAATATCAAGCAGAAACCCTTCAGGAGTCGGATGTCTTAATTTCTAATAAATATCTAAGGTATCCCTTACCGATTCCGCACCCAGAATATAAAAACTTTTTCTATTTCACCCAATGCATAAGCACGTGTTAATGAAATAATGAAAAAAAAAGTTTAACATAATATTCATGAAAAAACGCGGAATTCAACAAAATCCAAATCCGTATAATTCTTGTTAAAACGTGTTTTTAATTGTCGATTTTTTCCATAAAGAGTTAATTTAAATAATAAAAGCTGGATTCTAACAAAGCTGCAATCAACGGTTACATAACTAACCAAAACATCGATTTACCCACTAATTACAGGGTATTTTAGCAGTGAGCAATTTGCACGTGCGTGCAACAATATAAAAATATGCAGGCAAAGAGCAGAAACGTCAATCAAAGCCAGCAATCAAATTGTATCTGAGATACTTATAATAACAATGCAAACGCGCACACACACACACACACAGGTGCAGCTGTGTGGCCGAGTTAACGTCAACCTGTTGCCGGCGCTGACGCTGACGTCGACGTTGACGCCGGCAGCAAGCGCTGCCTTTTTCAAGCCAACGGCTTCAGCTTTGGCCGCGGCTTTTGGGCGCAGTTGACGAGCTGAGCTGCTGGCCTAAAGACGCGACCGGCAAATCGAGCACAAAAGATGCAACATTAAATTGGCGGCAACAACTGAAACCTAACGGAAACTGAACGTGCAACAAAAATTCTAAGTGCGTGCCACAAAGCAGCCTAATACAATATTTGTTCGTTTTATGTTCGGCTGATATCATTCCTGAACCTTGGCGAAATTATTTGACTATGCCACAGATAAAGTGCAAAAAACGCCAAGAGTGAAACAAGAGAAAGAAAAAGATAAAAAACAAATATAAAAAAAAACTCAGTGAAAGTGAAGATGCCTCATCATCATTATCAGCATCATTGAGACTTGCTGTGATGAATGAGGCGGTTGTGGCTGTTGTTTATGCTGCTGCCACTGGGATTTGGGTCTCATAATTATTGTGGCAGCTGCAACAAGGAAACAATAACAACCACAACTGAATGTTGCATGTGCAAATATCACAAAGAGTCAAAACTTTTTACCAACTTTTAAGTCAATAAAAAGAAAGAGTTGATGTTTATGCGGGGCACTTTTGAGATTTTTTATAATTATTTATTTTAAATGACTTTTTTTTAAAAAACCCTAAATAAAAAAAAATATAAAATAAAGCAGGAAATCGTGCCATGAAAAATATCTACAATAGTTGCCCAGCACTGAAAAAGCAAATAAAAACAACTTTGCATTGAAAATAGTTTTTTTGATTTATTTATTATTTTCTAAACGATTCATGAAATAGCTAAAACTACATTAAATAAACTTAAATTAAATAAAATTTTATAATAACTTAACAGTAACGCAATTACACAACATGATTATTGTTTTTAGCTTTGCGTTTGAATTTTTTAATGTAATTTATTTATGAAATTTTGAATGATTGGTATTTGTTCAAAACTATAAACAACAAATGAAAGAAGAAAGAGATTTACTTAAAATTCACGTTTTTGGATTTAAAACGTTTTAGTGACTAGCTACAATATGGAACCTATTCAACTGAATGAAATTTGAATGTATTCACATGTATGTTTAAAGGGTAAAGTGTTGTCTAACGCTAAACAACAAACACTTAACTATAATTATTCTTTTACTAGACTTAAATTTGCCTTCAACTCCAAAACTAAGCAGTAAATAATAGAATTAACTCTTCCAGATTCTTATATATTATACAAAAGGCAATTTATATAATGACAAATGTGTTGGAAAGTGCTTAAAGTTAAAGGTGTGCCTAAGGCTTTCTGTTGATTGCATTAATTCCACTAAGTGCATCTCAAGCACCCCTTTTGTCTAGCTGCTCAAGCAAACAACAACAAAAAAAACAATCCATTAAAATAATTTTAATACTCATAATATAATTCAAGTTACGATGCCATATGATCGTATACGTGTTGCCGGCAAAAGCCATTTAATGAGTAGCTGAAATTGCATCCGCTTATGCAAAATAGCAACAATTACCAACACGCATAAACCTCGCGACAATAGTCAGTCGCAGCTGACAAACGCCGAACCCAAAACCCCAAAAATAAAACTCACCTTGAGCCATACAAAAATAGAAAAGGCCCCAATCGCAGCCTCCAGTTCCAGTTCCAGTGCCAGTCAACGCCAAAACCAAAACCAATAAACAAAAAAAGGCAATTTTTCTTTGTGTCAGTTTGCCACAATTGCAATTCCCATCTCACTCGCGCCTAATTACCCACAATTTCATTTTGAAAGTAACAAATAAACGAAAAAAAACAAACAACAAACTACAAAAAAGTAACAACTGCCAACTTAATTACCCGCAGCTAGCTGACGCTTATCAACACTGTTCACTTCCCTGTTAACCGGCTGTTACATCGACTGGCTGACATCGAATCACAAAATGAATGATGCTGTTGGCCCTGGCCACGGTGCGACAGCCTTGAACTCCACGCAGGTAAACTATAGATGGACGTATACTTATTATTAACATTTTTGGGTTTTTGTGCTTGATCTGAAACCAACCAACCTGAGTTCGCTGCTACAAAAGACACAACAAAATTGAATACACAAAACCAGTTTTGTTTCGGATGCTTTTTGTGTACCCTGTTACCAGAAAATTGGGTAAACGAGTCTCATAAAAAATAGCTGCCGTATGTAACAGGTGATAGGAGACTTCCTCAAAATACTAAGTCTTATATTTCTTCGATCCAGAAACTTTCATTTGACAGAATGCCTTGATCTCATAGAGTATACATATATAGATACCAATTTCAATTATATAGATGAATATATATATATAAATATATATTTATAGATACCATTTTCAATATATCAATTCTATATCTATATTTTTCTAAAGATCGCAAAATGTGTCGGTAAGTTAGTCTAGAGAGAAAGAAATGTATGCTATATATGCAGAAGATGGTTAATATATCAAAGAAAAGTATATACATATCTGTAAATCCTTATAGGGTACAACTAAAAAAATAATAAAAATAGGTCGCAAAATGTGTCGGTAAGTTAGTCTAAAGAGAAAGACGCTTATTCTATGTATGCAGTAGATGGTTATATATATATGCATCCTGAATATGAAATATTAATATAATAAGATCCCATCTACGTTTTCGTATTTCCATCTACGTACTATACTCAAGACCATTTTAAGACCTATTTACAGGGTATCTCTATGTCTAAGCCTCTCAGCTCTCGCACTCTTAATTGTTTTGATTTCTGTTGTGTTTTCGCTGACTTGTTATGCTGCAGAATTACACACGCAGTCGCCTTATACCACGATATACATCGATCATAGTGAGTGAGAAACAAGTTTCATGTAGTTCAGCAAAGCGATTCAGTCGCATCTTAAATTTTAATGTCGTATATTTAATGGTTGACTCGGTTTGAAAGTCAAGTCCATGGCGTAGGTCAACACTAAACTTGTTGACAGAATGGCTATTTTTTATAACGCACATCTAACGTTGGGTGCCGTTGAAAGTATTTCGAGTGTTGTACAGTTTAAGGAAATTTAAGAGCTATCTTGAGATCTTTGGAGTAGCCATTTGCATTCACTTTGCTTACCAAACATTTGCTGATAGATCCGAGCTACCCAAATATCGATAGCTGCTGTTTGTTGAGCGTGTTGAAGATCGCAATGGTAAAAGCAGATTAAATACTAAGGTATATATATTTATAAGGAAATAAAATGCTGTTGACTTTACGCTTAATTAATGGTGGGCACACAATGAATACGAAAATAAGAAGATGAGCAAATACAAAACAAATAGTCCGCACTCAAGCTTTAACTTACATCATACTGACATCAGGATATCTCTAAAAATATATATACTTTAAGTTTGTTTAAATGTTATAGATCTGCCTAAGATTCTTAGAAATAGATGATACGGCTTAGCTGGTTCCAAAATGTTTAAGAATAACATATAATAACTATATTTTGCGAATATTATTAATATATAGATAAAAGACAATACTAAATAAATAGACATTAAAATAGGTCAAAAACAATCTAATTTCTGCTGAATGATTTATTATATGGCATATATTTTTAATGCATGAAAATGTCCTTATATTTTTCAATTTATATGTTAAAGAAAGTTAGTTCAAATTCAAAGCATTGTCTATAGTTCGTTTATAAGAGTCATACTCGAAAATTCTCATTGGCCTAGATTTAAGCATCAAACAGTTGAATTTGGAAACACAGCTCGTAAAGCTTGTGATATTTGTGTGAAGAATCTGACACAGTCATAAGGCCAGATAAATATTTGGAGACCATGATGAAAAGCACCGACAACGTGCCATTAGTTGAGGATGGATGCGACACGCCTAACCCCGTACGCCTCACTATCTGGCACAAGGTAAATCGTAGCTCACCTTTTGGTTGCAATCAGCTTATGGAAGTGCCTCCATATCCAGGTACTGTTCTATTTGGTCGGCCTGACCGCGGCACTGACCATTTGCCTGCTCATACGACTGTCCAATAAGCTGGCAGCCGATGCCCAGCACAGGGCGATGATGCATTTCAAAGAGATCTCCAACCGCATCGGTCACCGATTTGATAATTAGAGTCCAATGTGCCACAACAATTTGCTACTATTAACAATTTGTGCAAATAACGCGCTAACTGATTAAATAATACGGCAAATTGAGCAAAAGATTTTATGTGCAAATTGAACAACTGGCAATTAGCAGCAACAGAGGAAAGATAAATCGCATATGCTAAAAAATTAAAGACACAAATTGTTAAAAAAGAGGTTGCAAAAGTGTGCCAAAAAATATAAACTATATTATTGTTCTCTCTGATTTTAATTTATCTCTATTTTCAAGTAATAAATGCAATAAATGTTGTCAAAAATGTATATTAGGTTAGCTAGAAAAAAGTTTTAATCTTTTTTTATATTCGCGAACAATATGAACCATTTGTTATATTTGACCTTTGTTTTGCTTCATTTTCAAGTTTTGAAATTAATATTGTTATCAGACGAATATGAAAACATGTTCGTCTTGACCTTTAACAGTTTAAAGATCACAAATTTCATTGGGATCAGGCGACAATTTTAGCTTATTAAAAATGTACAACAACCTTTAATTACTTTATGCAAAACAACCAGTCCGGATTGTTGAACTTGATGTCATGCGAATCGACTTTTTATCTATGCTTCGAGAAACTATGAAATGTTTTTCACATTTTTATAAAAACTTCGACTATCTATGTAAACGAACTATTTTCAAATGTTAAGCTTAGCTTTATTAAATTTAAAAATACTTTAAATAAAAGCATTTTGTTTACAAGATATCGAAAATATAATTATTATGATTAATAATAACAATAATAACAATATGTACACACAAGTACATATAACTTGACTATAATAATGTTTCTTTATAGTAGGATAGGCAGACGGACATGGCTAGATCGACTCGGCCACTGATGTTGATCAATAAAGTATACACTTTATGCGGTCGGAGATGCTTCCTTCTGCCTGTTACATATATTTGCTAAAAAATATTATACCCTTTTACCCATTTTTAATGGGTTCAGGGTATAAAGAAATTGTGCGCGAATTCTAAAGTCTCGAGAAAAAAGTTATGAATACCTGTTTATCTAGTGTTGAGTGAGAGGTTCGAGAGATCATAGTTTTTAATAGGAACAGGTGACAGTTTTTTTTTTCATTATAAAATGTATAATTGCTTTAAGGCTTGCAAATCAAGCTAAACTGTTCTTGTCGGATATATTGCAATAAGCTATGTATATCAAAAACAGGGGTACTTCCAACTTTAAGTAAGCAAAATAGCAAAGAATTAATAAAATACTTCTGAATCTTGACAATTCTTCTGTAATAAGTATTTTTACTTAATCCAAATCGCGAAATTCGCAGATCAAAAACAATATATAGAGAATATAGGTAGGCAAACTAACCAACTTGCCAGCTCATGCTCTTATAGAGTCTGAGATCTAATAGACAGCTAGATTTTGGACTTGGATTTATCAAACCATTCTACATTTCTTACAGACAACTTCAACAGATGTGCAGATCAGCATGGGTAATGCCAAAGTTGATGCCAAGAAAAAGGGCAGCTGTTTCAGCTGGCTGTTGCTGGCGCTCTTGGTTCCGGCTCTGAGTGCGGCCACTGCGCTGGTCTGGTTTTATGAGGGCACCTGGTACGGATTGGCTGCTCTCTATGGCAGTTTGGTGGTGGTGCTGCTGGTGAAGCCGGGCTGGCGCTGGTTCTATATAGCAGCAGTCACGGGTCCACGGGACACCATGTAAGCCCAAGTGGATGCAGTTGCTCCAGCTAGATACTGATGTCTTTCTTTGCAGCGCTTTGATTGCCTACATTCGCGTTTTGTTGTTTATCAAGCGACAGGAGCGCAAGAATCTCAACGTGGGCGACATCTTTGAGGCGAATGTGGCGCGCCAGCCGGATAAGCTGGCCATAGTCAGCGAGTCGCAGAAGTGGACCTTCCGGCAGCTGAACGAGCACGCGAATCGAGTGGCCAACGTGTTCCACAGCCATGGCTACAAGAAGGGCGATGTGGTGGGGCTGCTGCTGGAGAATCGCGCCGAGTTCGTGGCCACCTGGCTGGGCCTGTCCAAGATAGGCATCATCACGCCCCTGATCAATACAAATCTGCGCGGCGCCTCGCTGCAGCACAGCGTCAAGGTGGGCAACTGCACGGCTCTGATCTATGGCATCAGCTACAGATCGGCGGTGATGGACATAGCCAAGGATCTACCCGCCCATGTGGCGCTCTATCAGTTCAATGACGTGGCCAATTCCACGGAAACAACGGACGGTCTTACACAGGGTCTGGCACAACAGCTCAACGCACTGCTCGAGTCGGCGCCCAAGGATAAGGTAGCCGCTGGCGCTAGCCGTGCCGATCATCAGGATAAGCTTTTATATATCTACACATCGGGCACCACAGGGTTGCCCAAGGCAGCTGTCATCACGCACGCACGGTAAGTTTGCTCTTTAGAGTTGCAAGCCCTTGTGTTTGATTCGAAGCTAAAACCGATTGAGAATTATACCAGCTTCCATTATATTAGTTAAAAGCTATGGCCTTTGGCTAAAACAATGCTACATTCATTCTGGGACTCATACCCGAGCCTTCCCTTACCTAAATACTTTTCCGTCCTTGCAGCTACTTCTTTATAGCCGCTGGCATACACTATACATTGGGTTTTCGGGACAATGACGTATTCTACACCCCGCTGCCGCTTTACCACACGGCTGGCGGCATCATGAGCATGGGCCAGGCGCTGCTCTTTGGCTCCACGGTGGTCATACGCAAGAAATTCAGTGCTTCGGGCTATTTCGCGGACTGCGCCCGCTTCAATTGCACGGCAAGCATACAAATTGACCCACTCCCTTTGCTGGTTTTATGCCCACAATTCCCTTCCAGATTGCACAGTATATAGGCGAGATGGCGCGCTATATACTGGCCACGCCGGCGGCGCCGCATGATCGTCAGCATCAGGTGCGCATGGTCTTTGGCAACGGGCTGCGCCCGCAGATTTGGACCCAGTTCGTGGAGCGCTTCAATATAGCCAAAGTGGGTGAATTCTATGGCGCCACGGAGGGCAATGCGAACATCATGAACAATGACAGCACTGTCGGCGCCATTGGCTTTGTCTCGCGCATACTGCCCCAGGTGTATCCCATTTCCATAATACGCGCCGATCCCCACACCGGTGAGCCCATACGCAACGAGAAGGGTCTCTGCGAGCTGTGTGCACCGCACGAGCCGGGCGTTTTCATAGGCAAAATTGTGAAGGGCAATCCATGCCGCGAATTCCTGGGCTATGTGGACACCAAGGCATCGTCGAAGAAGGTTGTGCACGACGTCTTCTGCAAGGGCGACAAGGCATTCATATCGGGTGATTTGCTGGTTGCCGATGAGCGCGGCTATTTGTTCTTCAAGGATCGCACGGGTGACACGTTCCGCTGGAAGGGCGAGAATGTCTCCACCAGCGAAGTGGAGGCACAGCTGAGCAACCTGGTCAGCTACAAGGACACCATTGTGTATGGTGTGTGCATACCCCAGACAGAGGGACGCGCCGGCATGGCAGCCATCTACGATCCCACGCGGGAGGTAAATGTCTCCAAGCTGGGTGCAGAACTCGCCACAGCACTGCCCAACTATGCGCGTCCGATATTCCTGCGCTTCTTGCGTCGCATCGATCTGACCGGCACGTTCAAGCTGCGCAAGGTGGAGCTGCAGCAGCAGGGCTTCAATCCGGCCGCCATTGAGGATGAGCTCTACTATGCACAGCCCAATGGTAGCTATGCGCCACTGACGCAGCCCATCTACGAGCAAATTCAGCGCAACGAACTGCGCTTTTGAGGAGCGGTTAAATTAGTATTAACTTTAAGGACCATATAAGACTAACATAAAACAACGGTTATCTTTGGAGTGCCGAAGACTTGATACCCTTGCAGACAATTAGAATGTGTACAATGTATATCTGATCTTAGCCAATACATTTCCGATTTTAAATATTTTACAGCATATCGCAATTCTCTGGAATTATCTGGAAAAACAAAGAAGTTGCTTATCTAAGAACCTAATTTTAATCCCAATTAACCATATTTATGGAAACTTTAGGATTTAGCATACCGAAGAAAAACGATTAGGGTTATCATTAAACTAATTTGTTGACAGTTTTCTAGCTATATATGGATCAATGGGGACAAAAGACAGACGGACTTGTATACATTTATACAGCTGTTGATGCAGACCAAGATATATATATATAAATCCCTTACACATGCTTTACAAATGTATAATACCCTGCAAGGGTATGTAAAGGTATTTTCTCATACAAAGAAAACACTTAACCAGCACATATTTAAGTTCTAGTTTAGCTCTAGTTTTAGTTAATAGATTCGTGTATTGTGCTAGCGTATAAAATAAAAATCTTAAAGGCGACAAGTGGAACAATTTCTAAGGTTAAATACTTTCAGCAATTTTAGCACTCAGTCCTTTGGTGGCACATCCTTTGTGAGGTCGGCACGTTTCTGTTGGTCCATGCGCTGCTCGACCTGGTCAAGGCGCTCGTTCATCGCGTCCAATGAGCTGAGCAGGCCCGCTTGTATCTCGCCATATCGCTTCATGGCCAATATAAGACTCTCCTCGATCAGTTCGCTTTGCTGTGCGTATTCGCCGTTGTTATCGGTGATCTGTTTGAGCTTGTCCAGGCACTCGCTGGGTATGCTGCGAAAGTATTCCGCACCCAGCGCCGGCTCCAGCTGCTTGATGCGCTCCAGCTGTTCACTCTGTGCGTATAGCTCGGGCGCAACTGCATTTATATAGACCTCCTTGGTGCGCACCTGTTGGTGTTCCTCCAAGAAATTGGGATCCAGATACTTCTCCAGCTCCGCTGCACGTCCCACGCACTGCTGCAGCTGTGTGCGGCCCGTGGTGGCTTCACTCAACAAGGCGTTGGCAGAGCACAGCGTGTCCACAATATTCGCGGTCTTTGCCGTGCTGCTGCCGTCGGCGTCTCCAGCATATGATTCCGGCAGTGGACCGAGCACACGATTCAGCGAATCTATTCTTTTCTCCAATATGTCAAGGGCTTCCATTCTGATTTGCAAATTTCTCAAAGAAAGCGGAATGATGTCAGTGCAATTAGCAAAACAAAAACACACAAAAATACCAAAAACGCGTTGCACTTTAGGTATAGCATTGTACAACACTGAGCGCCTGTAAGCAAACATGCACATATCGATATTTTGATTATCGATAAGCTTTCAGCGCCAATTTCCTTTTTTTAAATAAATTTACATATTTATTTGCAACCAGGATTCACAATTTAAAATTCTCCAATGACAAACGCTCCGCATCCTTGTTTATCTGCGCCAGGCTATCCTCAGAAATGATGCGCACCACATCCGCATCCAAATCGTCGCCCGCATTGTCATCCAGCACACACAAAAGTCCATCGTTATCCATATAGGGAAAAAAGAATTCGGGCTTGTCCCAGCTAGCACGCTCGCCGATGCCACAGTGCGACGCCTGAGCCATATGCTCGGCCAGCAGCTCGAACTCATCAAATTGCAAATCACAGCACATGCAGCGCAGCAGGCAGAGCTGCCGTCGCACATAATTTACAACCTTAATTTTCTGATAGAAATTCAAGGTGCTAGTAACGGCGTCAAAGTCCAGACGATGCTCCTCAAGCATATGCTGCTTCAAAGTGGAAAACTGAGATTCCTCTTGGATACAGTACAGACACTTAATGGCATGGGGCTCGCCATCACCTGCCCAATCGGACCAGTCTGAATCGCAATCTCCATCCGAGTCCTGCCGCGCAAAATGCTTATCAAAGTCAACGCTGGCATTTTCCTCCGCTCCTTGGGATTTACGTTTCTGACGTGGCTGCTTGCGCGACGCAGGCGCTGGAGTTGTACGATTATAATTGATTAAAAAGAATTTGTCGTACTCGCGACGATTGGGATTGATGCGTTTATGTCCCTTCTTGCGCATATGCTCCTTAAGTGTGGGGCGATCCTGGTGATGGACGAAAGTGTTTAAAAAATATAAATTATATTATATATAAACCTACCTTAAATATCTTTTCGCAGTACAGACACATCAATTTGTTCAGGTTCTCCTCGAGCTGATCGAGCAACTCATCCACGTAAACTAGTTTCTCCGGCTTGCCCACAAGCAGAAAATGCCTGTCAAACAGATGCTCCAAGTAGTCGGCGCGGAGACCTTTAATGACAGTGCGACAGAACAGGCACTCCTTGCTAAAGCTGCGGTCCGTTAGCTCGAACTGATGCCGCTCCAATGCAGCAGTCAAGCGCTGTTCCTGCAGCGACTTGCGCAGCTCAAAGTCCTGCGGCAAAATATCACAGAGCAGGTAATATTTCTCGTTCTTGGAGTAGGTACCGTCAGGCAGCTGATCCAGAAACATTGTTGTACAGTATTGTTCGAACTCATGAGCTAGCCAACGACAAATGAATTAAAATCATCTTTATACATGCAAGCAAGCATATTTACATTGGAACTCTTTCTCCCAGTATTGCAAATAATCCTCCAGCAGCGCTATGTCCTCCACATCTGCAATGACCAGACGATGTTCGAGGTACAAGTGCGCCAGGCAATCGTCCCTGTCAGCGGGGAATATAAACACTTTCGCGCATTTCAAGCATTTAATGGCAGTGTTATGCGTGGGTTTCACTCTTTGGGCATCCCTTCTACCAACTGTGGGCACAGGTTCGCCAACAATTCCACTTCCTCCCGCCTGCTCCATTTGTTGACAAAAACAAAACTAGAGATGCGAATCTGCTAGGCGAGAACTGTTGCTCATGCGACTATCAACTCGATATTTAATATCGATACGATCATTTTCAGTTGAGCCCAGGATAGTACGCTAATCATGCAACGATATATGCTGCTATTGAAATGAACTTAAAAGAACTCAATAGAGTGTAAGTACATGACTAATTTCTGAACAAAGAATATTTTATTTACTCTTAGATAGCAATACAATTCTTAAACGGAATTAAATTTTGATCGTACTTGTACTCAATCAGTAACGATTAGCACATAGCTTTAGCGCTATCGATAAGTTATCGGTCTTTATATATGAACTAGTTCCGCACTGAAATACTCAACTCTTGCAACACGTGTGTTACTCGGCCATTTTCCATAACCTGGCACCGCGTGCAAACGTCTTTGAGCATCGCGAGCGTAGTGTGTTAAATAAAATTAAATAAAATGACTGACGTTGGTAAGTGTTCATAAAAATAACATAAACAAAGTACTCCCAATGGAATGCGCAATACATCGTTACAGATTCGCGTAAGAAAAAAAAGAAAATCAAGGAGGAGCCACTCGATGGCGAAGATATTGGCACTCTGCAGAAGCAGAATCAATTTCAAATAAAGCCATCCTCGAAAATAGCCGAGCTGGACACATCCCAGTGGCCGCTGCTGCTAAAAAACTTTGATAAGCTCAACATACGGTCCAATCACTATACGCCGCTGGCACATGGCTCCTCGCCGCTTAATCGCGACATCAAAGAGTACATTAAAACTGGTTTCATAAATCTCGATAAGCCATCGAATCCCAGCTCGCATGAGGTGGTCGCATGGATCAAAAAGATATTGAAAGTTGAAAAAACCGGCCACTCCGGCACATTGGATCCGAAGGTTACGGGTAAGCTGAAACCATGTGTTAATATGTGTGTGTGTTGTGTGCGCGCGCTAGAGATGAGCCATATTGTAATATTGTGACAGTTAAGACGTAAAGTGTGACTGTTTTTTAATAAATGCATTAAATTTAAAAAGTGCGCCGGTCCCAATGCGATATTTTCCAGTCCCAGCGATGTTCATCTCTATCGTGCGCTTTTTTTTCAACCTAACCTCAAATTGTTAACTAACGCACGTGCGTACGCACATTTTCCAACACAGGCTGCTTAATTGTCTGCATTGACCGCGCCACACGTCTCGTCAAGTCGCAACAAAGTGCCGGCAAAGAGTATGTGGCTATTTTTAAACTACATGGTCCCGTTGAGTCGGTGGCCAAAGTGCGTCAGGGATTGGAAAAATTGCGTGGTGCACTCTTCCAGCGCCCGCCCCTCATCTCGGCTGTAAAACGTCAGCTACGTGTGCGCACAGTTTACGACAGTAAATTGCTGGACTACGATGAAACGCGCAATATGGGTAAGTCACCAAATTCATATACACCCTCTCAGCTGGAGCTTGTGCGTCGCTGCCCGGCTTAAGGCAGGGACGTGCAGAGCTACCGAATCTAAAAAAGAAATACAGCAAAATTATAGTATTTGCCCTGGCAAATGCACAGTTATATTGGTAACACTTTCTCGTTTTTGTCTCTCGATATTCACGTGCTTAGGTGTTTTTTGGGTTAGCTGCGAGGCCGGTTCCTATATACGTACCATGTGCGTCCATCTGGGTCTAGTCCTCGGCGTCGGTGGCCAAATGTTGGAACTGCGTCGTGTGCGCTCCGGCATACAGTCTGAACGCGATGGCATGGTCACCATGCACGACGTTCTCGATGCCATGTGGCTGTATGAGAATCATAAAGACGAGTCCATGCTGCGTCGCGTCGTCAAGCCCTTGGAGGGCCTTCTTATCAATCACAAGCGCATCATCATGAAGGACAGCTCGGTAAGTTGACTATACATCACATTTTTAATTACTACCCCATGATATTAAGCCGGCAGACGCATGTATTTTAACCAGCTGCGTCTGTGACTATGACTGGGAACAGTAACGCTGCTGATGTGTGTATGTTGGAGTTGCGCCTTGCCTGCGTATCCGACAAAGTTATTTTCAGACCACAAATCCCAACTCAAAAAATATATACTTACTTTTATACATCACAAATAATAACTAATTCAATTTGATTTAGGTCAATGCCGTTTGCTATGGTGCCAAAATCATGTTGCCTGGCGTGTTACGCTATGAGGATGGCATCGAAATGGAACAGGAGATTGTCATATGCACCACAAAGGGTGAGGCCATTTGCTTGGCCATCGCCATGATGACTACGGCAACCATGTCCTCGTGCGATCATGGTGTTGTCGCCAAGATCAAGCGTGTGATTATGGAACGTGACACATATCCGCGCAAGTGGGGATTGGGTCCAAAAGCATCAGCCAAGAAGGCGCTTATTGCTGCCGGTAAACTGGACAAGTTTGGCAGGCCCAACGAGAATACACCCAAGGAATGGCTAACGGGCTTTGTGGACTACAACGCCAAAAAGCCAGCGGCGGCAGTTGCGCCACAAGCTACGTCGCCCTCAAATGGCTCAAATGAACCCAGCAAGGTACGGGATAACATATTATTTATTTTTAATATAAAATTTGCCTTAAACAATACCTTTTTAATTGCAGCGCAAACACAGCACCTCCAGTGTGGATGAAACGGCAGTTGATGTCACACCCGCCACAACAGAGAAGAAGAAAAAGAAGAAGAAGCACAAGGGTGAGGAGGAGGCGCCAGCTGTAGAGGAATCAGCTGCTGATGTACCTGTAGAGAAAGAGAAGAAGAAAAAGAAGAAGAAGGACAAAGATAGAGATAGAGAAGAGGCTCAGGAATAACATATTTTCTACAAAACTAGGCATTAGGCTCTATGTCCTCCCCTATTTGGAGAGCATTTTCTTAGCTGTTAAGTTTAAAATTTTAGACGGCATCTTGTATGTGTGAGCTGTAAAAATGCAAGTTTTCAATGCATTTATACGTGACATTCGCAATGCAATAAATTGTATAATTTTATTGTAAATTTGTAAGCCTGTTTCATTAGGTTGTATTTAACTTGTAGATCTTTTCAAAGCGACATCCTCAACTCTACATTTTTACGGTGAGTTTTTAGTACTAATTTTAATTTTATAATGTACAATTTTCAAATGTTGAGTGATCTTCTGATGAGCGAAAACTTTCGCCCCTAGCTGAAAACTAAGTGAAACTTCTCATGTTGAATGCGGGATTGGTCTTACTGAATTTGATAACAAAATAGATTTGAAAATTGTCTTTATAGAGTGAAATTTTAATTTTCTTACCATTCATAGCATATTACTAACGTAGCTTTTATACCTTACAGCTCGAACAAGTTGCTTAATGGCCGTGAATCAGGCAGAAAAAACTCTATGGCAAACTATAAGGTAAGTTTATCTATGAACGTTTATGTATAAAGTCAGTCTAAATTATGATGAGCTTTAAGCTTTCGCCCCTATCTGAAACCTAAGAGAAACTTCTCATGTTGAATGCGGGATTGGTCTTACTGATATTGATACAAATCTTAAAGCATTGCTTTAAATTTATAAAAATATATTTTTAATTTGAATTTTTTACCTGTTTTACAGTTTTGCCCGAACAGTTTAGACAGTCCCTGAGCCAGCCAGCTGAGCATCCTAGCAGCCATAATGACGGTTAGTATCCTTGTAAATGCATCACTAAAATCTATCATTCTCTGATGAGCAATAAACTTTCGCCCCTAGCTGAAAACTAAGAGAAACTTCTCATGTTGAATGCGAGATTGGTCTTACTGAAATAAGATTTTAACAGCTATTGATAAAATTCCTATCTTGGCATCTTACTTATCAATTTTATTTTGTTTTCAGTTTCTATAGGGTTCTGTTTTAAGCGAGGACTTCCATTTTCTACATCAAATATGAAAGGTAAGTGCTCACCAATTCACCAATTTAATCCTGCGTTTTACATGATGAGCATTAAGCTTTCGCCCCTATCTGAAAATTAAGAGAAACTTCTCATGTTGAATGCGTGATTGGTCTTACTGATACCAAACATAGCTATTCTTGAACCGATTAATTTGTATATATGTAACTAACAATGTATTTTATTTTCTAGATATGCCTTTCGATGTATTTTTTGGAAATGAACTCGTTCTTTACGGTAAGCATTATATAATTAAGTTCGAAATTAAGCTTCCGTTTCTAGATGATGAGCATTAAGCTTTCGCCCCTATCTGAAAACTAAGTGAAACTTCTCATGTTGAATGCGAGGATTGGTCTTACTGAAAATTGATTTACAACAAATAATTATATGTTAATTTTAAAACTTATACTAAAGGATTTTCTATTTTTATTACAGTTTCCTACCTAAGGACATTACCTTGAATATGCAGTTTAAAAAATGTAAGCAATCATTATTTTCGTAAAGCACTAAATTATTTAAACTGATGAGAAAGGAAAGCTGAACTGTGGCATGATTCACTAAATCCGCAACAACACAATCCTCAAAAATAGGTCCTACTGAAATGAAAACCTAGAATGTTTTTATAAAAAATATTAAAACAGGATAATTAAAAAGTATTATGTTTATTTGCAGCCTTTTCCGGGTCTTGTGCGGACGAAAAATCATGGATTGCAATTATGAGGTGGGTACTATTTGGAGAGATAAGCTTTACAATTTTGACAACCGTACGTTTTCCAACATGATGAGAAAGGAAAGCTGAACTGTGGCATGATTCACTAAATCCGCAACAACACAATCCTCAAAAATAGGTCCTACTGAAATGAAAACCTGGAATATATTTATACAAATTCGTTAAACTCAAATAAATAAAGAGTATTTTTTTTTATTTGCAGCCTTTCCCGGATCATTACGCAAAAAAAAAAACCTAATTGATTGCAATAAAAAGGTGGGTACCATTTAAAAATACAAGCTTAACGGTTTTGACAACTGTACATATTCTAACATGATGAGAAAGGAAAGCTGAATTGTGGTATGATTCACTAAATCCGCAACAACACAATCCTCAAAAATAGGTCCTACTGAAATTAAAGTCAATAAATCTATTAAACTTTTCGCCATTCAAAATAAACGCAAAATTAACTGTAATTTTTTATTTTATATTTTGCATTTGCAGGTACAGTACAGTCCTATTGATGCGTGATATATCTTGCTACTATTTTCCTATAAATCTTTTTTTCCTTACTGTACAAATATATTAGCAAATAAATTATAAAGCAAGTTATAGGTAACATGTGTTAATTTTCATTGTGGGATACCCACGTTCGCCTAACCTCAAAACGCAGGGTTGTGCAGCGGCATAATTTTTATTTCAGCTGTACTTTTGGAGGGAAATCAAAAACAGGGTTGTCAGAAGGTCGTTAAACGATATTGTGTTGAATTTTGCGAACGTGGCACCACCAAGGCTATTATTATTTAAGGTTTGTTAAGCTGGGTTTTAATTAGCGTCCTTCTAAGCACGTGCTTCATCCAATTGTGCTGAGCTTGAAGCAGGCGAATTTAAAAATAAAATTTCCTTTTGAAAAGAGCTCAGTGAACTTGCACACTGAACTATTTTTATTTCTAGCTTTATTAATGACACTTTTTTAGGAATATGTGAAAGCATTTGTTTATATACACTAAACAGCTTTGCCGCTCATTTTCGTAGCTTTGAATATCACTAGGCTTCAGTTTTTTTTCACGCTCTACAACCCTGTGTTCCATTCCACGCTGCTGCCTTGCCGCGCTGTTATCGGTCTCCATATTGAAATTCATCAAGCAGTCGCCGATATATGTGTGTGTCAATTTTGTGTATGTACTCGTTCGTATGTGCTACGCTTTTTACGACGTCAGCAGCGAGAGCTGCAAGTAATTGCGCGTTTAAGTGAAAGAAAAGTTAAATTATTATAATATTCCTGTGGAATTAGATATTAGAAAAGACGGCAGTGCACTGTGTGTGCACAATTTTGTGAAGGTAAGTGTTTTTATTTTCATTTAGTTTCTTACGTGGCAGGACATTTTGAGGTACTCAAAAAATTTTTTCATTCGGCTTTTCGCTTTGTTAGGGGCGGGCGAAGTCGGTGCTTTACATTCTGACGCATGCGATCAGCGGTAGCGTGTGCATGTATCTGTTGACGCGACGCCATGTTGGTTTTATTTTGAGGTTATCGATTTTTTTAATGCGTGTTAATTGCGAAGTGCTTAGATTTGTGGTCGTTTGCAAGGTGCATGGAATGATGAGGCAATCAAGTAAGGCACAGCTGCATTTGTGAATTCTTCAATTCTTACATAAGTTTTTGGTTAGTAGACAATTTTTTTCGTAAGTACTGTTAAGCAAATGTAAAGATCGCAATTTGCAACGTTTGATTTTGTTGTGTAGAGTTTTTCTGACAGGTGAACATAATCCTAACAGCAATCTATTTTTAGCACTAATCGCACTGTTATAGAGTACTCAGAACTAGATAGTCCCTTGGCTATATCTCCCTTTCACTTCGAAAAATAAATCGGTTATCGGCGCCCACGTGCGCACGCCCACATATCTACATACATTGCAGAAGTAATCTTAAAGCATACGTACATACATGCATATATGACATAAGCATGACAACTACTGTTGTGCCATTGCCATTGCATTTCGTTGGAACGCCTGAGAATGGACTTACACACTCACACGTCGCCTACATACACACACAGACAGGCCAGTCGTCGTAGGGCCCACACAGAGCTGTTTGTGATCGCAAAATATTCGCACGCGTTCTTCTTGAATATCAAACAAAGTTTAAATAATATCAAGTGCATTTTAAAACAATTATTGCGCACATGCGCAATGCCCACAATCATTTGTAATTGGAATTGTTGGCATAAGTTAAAAGTCTATGTGCAGTGAAAATAAACACAGCGTGTAAAATGTTTTAGTTGCCTCTGCTGCTGCTGCTGCTGCTCTCGGCGTCGTGTCTGTGTGTTGGGGGCGACCAGCGCTTGTGTGTGTGTGTGTGGTTTATTCGAAGGCGCTTAAATAACAACAAGAACAAATTGTGGGCTCTTCTTTTTCGGCGTCTACCGTTTCTTGTGCCGTTTACAAGTGCGCAATTTTATTAATGCATGTACGTATGTTTATATGTTTTAACAGCCGTCAAACATTTCGATACAAGTTGCTTGTAGATTTCGATAACTTTTCGATAGCAATATGCTTATTTGTAAAGTCCTGTGAAAAAGAGTTGGTGTATTTATATGTAAATATAATTGGTTTTATTAAATTACTAGTTTGTGTGTATTTGTGTGTGCATGTCGAGTGCTTAATTGTTTTTTCGTTTAGTTCAATTTTCATCCGTCAGGTGCTTGGGTCTGCTTTATGTGTGTATCTCTTAGCATGCCAGTGCTGCCTATTTCGCTTGGAACTCTAGCTGGGCAGCACTTTTGGGAAATTTTTGACTTTTTCATATTTTTAAATAGAAATAGAGTGCATGACGAGTTTTCTTTGTAACATAGACAGTCAGCAATTTTTCGTGAGTCGGCAGTATGGCGAGCTTAGATGGTTTTGGAGATTTTTTTGTTGTTCACAGAACTTTCTAGAGAAATATTCATATTGACCTTTGCAATAATAGTGTGACCGTTTGTGTTACGTAATAAAATTCAAAGTCGAAATTTTACATCTATTTTTTTGTTTGTTTTAAGAAGTGTTTTGAACTAAAACTGATCATATTATAACTATTAATGGTATAAAATGTGTCTGTTTTGTCGTTTTGATTGCTCGAAAGTAAATGTTCCCGCGCTCTCGCTAATCGATAACAAGAAATTGAATCTTAATCGCTTATTGTATTATTATATATGTAATTTTGTAACAGGTTTTTTTCAATTTATATATGTTTTTGTTTTCTAGAATGACACAAGAGCTGCCGCCAATCGTACTAAAGGGCAAGGAGTTGAGAAAATTTCTTTACCTGAAACGCAAATATCCCGTTTCACAGGAGTTTTTGCACCGAAACTGGGCCAATGCAAAGCGCTTTATCATCTATGCGCTAAATCCGCGCTGTGTCCTGCGCATATATGCCTGGCGTAAGCGAAATAACCGGGTGCTGCTTTTACGCCGTGCGCGTCTCCTGCTCTTCGATCCGCGTCTAAAACGCATGATAAAGCGACGCAAGGCCAATGTCAAGCAATGGTCGTCCAGTATTGTGCGCTACTACAAAAAAAGGGGTCAAATAACGGAGTACGAGGAGACGGAAATGTACGGCGAAGACTTGTCCAAGCTGATGAAAGAGCAATTGGAGCTTTTGAAGAGCGGCAAGCGCGGTATCTCACTGATCGAAGATGCCAACAAAAACGTGGAACTGCGTTCAGACAGGCCAGAAAGTCCTGCAGGGCAAGAGGAGCAGGCAGAGAAGGAGGTAGTACGGAAAGGAGTAGAAAAGGAGCAGGTTGAAGCAAAGCAGGTGGAAGAGATGCATGTAGAAGAGGAGGCAGCCACAGCAGTTGATGAAGAGCCTGTTGCAAAAGTTCCTGCCGCCGAGCCGACAAGAAGCAAAGACTCGCCGGCAATAGCTGTGGTGCAGCCCAGCAGCATAGCTGAGAAAGTGGCGGAAAAGCCATCGAAAAAAACAGGTGGCAGCAAATTTTTGGACATGCTCATGAACAAAGTGCGCGTCAAGAACTTTGCCAAAGAGTCAAATTTCCCCAAGCCAGCAGATGACTTGGATGAAGGCCGACTGAATAAACCCACAACTGGGGTAAACAGCGACTTTAATTTTAATGATGACACCAGCGAGGATTTCGTGGGCTTCGATGAGAGCGCACATCAGCCGGGCATGTTGCTGACGCCGCTGGTGCCGCAGAACTGCAAAACCATCGATGGCAATGGAGCTTTTGTCAGTGATGCGCTGGAAGCCTATATGAAGAAGAATAATCTGCGCGACACAAATCCCGAGGATCGCGAGCTGCTGCTCGAGCCCATGTATCAGGATGGACGTGTCACGGCGCACAGTATGCCGCCGTATATGGATATGCCGGCGGTGCCGGACAGCCTGCAACGTTTGCGCACCGTGGCCGATCGACGGCACTATCTGCAGCGCTCCAAGAATCAAAAGATGGCCATTATCAACAACGAGGCAAACATCTACCGTGAGCTGCAGCGCAAGCAACGCCAGCGCAAGGTGAAAATCGCTGCGATGCAGCAGCTGCAATCGTTCAGCACCCAAATGCCTTTCACACGCCAAGGCTGGCAGGCGGCTAGCTATGTGGCCACAGAGACTGACAAGTATTACTATCAGGTCATACGCATCGATGGCGAAATGGTGCGTCTGCCGGGTAGCCAGGGCAACAATGTGCGCCGCGAGAAGCAGCCGCATCGGAGTATGCTCACGGAAAAGGAGCTCGCCACGCTCCAGTGTCGTAACCAATGCGTCGATGCTACTCTGCGCAAGGAACTGAAGGTGCTGCCCACGCGTCAGTGCCAGATCAAGAGCAAGCTGCAGAAACTCAATCAGTATCCATTGCCAGCCATATTTCGACCATGTCCGCTGTCACAGAAACCGTATCAGAAGCCGCTGGACGATGATACGGCCGCCCTGTTGTTGGCTGGCGGCAGCATGGCCGTTGTCAGCATGCCCACGGTGCAGCTGGATGTGAAGCCGCAGTTGGGCCGGCCATTGGATGAGATTGCCAAGCGCTATCTGCAGTATATACTGCCGCATCATGACATCACCCGCGAGTGGGCCGAGTTCAGTGTGTCCACGCTGCAGGAATCGCCCAATAGCATGCGCGAGGCCGAGGCACAGGCCGCCGCCGCACAGGCCACAAATGCCGGACGGCGCAAAAGCTTCACCTTTGTGATACCCTATCTAAACGATCGTAATCATATCCTGGTGCGACGCGTTGTCGATCGCTCCGAGCAGCTGGACGACAGCTTTAGCTCCGCGCAGCCGCCGGAGAAGCTGCGTGAATTTGAGTTTCGCAAACAGCTTCCGGAGGTCCCAGACCCAATTGCTCTGGCCTGCGCCGATATGATCAATGACATGATCAACACGGTGGCCATCAGCTGCAGCGAGAACTCGTTCATCAGCATTGATCCAGATGCAGCTCGTGGCGCCACGCCCGACATTAGCCCCATCAAAGAAGAGCTCGCCGTCGAGGGTCTGGCCAAGACGGGCTCCAAACTGACAGCCAATAAGCCCCAGCCACAGCGTCGCCCTAACAAACAGATGCGTTTGGCCAAGGAGCTGCGGCGTCTTAATGCCACCATCATCGATGCGGCTGCCATTGCCAAGGATGGTAAGTTCTAGAAATAGACTAATTTAATGGTAGGCATTTAACTGTCTGTATTGAGTTGCAATACAATCGATTGTGCTATCGATAAAATCGATTGTAGTGCCTGAATAAGTTATATAACACACATTATTTTGCTTAACACTTAACTGAATATAATTAATTTTTTATTCGTTTGCATATTCAATTATTTACCCTTTAATTTTTTGTTTTGATTAGAAAAATCAGTTCTTTAATATTTATATCTCACAGTTATTTCTGACTATATACCAATAGCTCTTAGTTTCGTGAAATAATCTAGACCTACCTAACAATTTTTAAACCGTCTTCTATTCGCCTTTCGTTTTTTTATTTCTTAAGTTGAACACTCCTACAAAATCCCAGAAAAATTAAAAAAAATATTTGTAAACGGGTCTCAATATCCTGCTTAAGTTAATAGATGGTTCTTAATTTTTGAAAATGATCTGTATTTATTCCTTTTTTTTTTCTTTTATTTGCAAAAAAATAATTCCTGGAGTATGTCAATTTTGCTACTGCAATTGGTATCGATTATTATAATCGATAACAACTATATCGATATCTATCAAAAACAGCATATTTAACCGTAAAAAAATTATGATTAATTTCAAATCTAAATGCTAATACATTAGATGCTTATTATGGCATAGACTATGGAGTATATTAATTATTTAGATGGTATATATTATAAACTATGTATATCTTATTACAGCAAATAAACCATGCATTAAGGATCACTGCCAGCTGGGCTGCCTGTGCGAGAGTTTGGCCGGCGAGCTGCCCACGCGCGAGCATTGTGGGCGTGCGGATTGCGTGCTGTCGTGCCGCTGCACGGGCGCCGAGTTGACGCGCATCATGCGCGTGGAAACGGACGTGAGTATAGGAGCAATCCATAGATTCAATCAATCTACATTCACCCGCTTCTCTTCGACAGGGTCGTGGGCTTTCCAACGAGGATGCATTCAATTTGCGGCGCAAGGCGACGGCGCGTCTGGCCAAAATGGAAAAGGATTTTACTTCAACACTTGTGCTGACTGACAACGAGACTCTGCTGATTAACGAGACGCAGTGTGACAAGAAGCGGCGCTGCACCAAGGCACCCAAGCGCTACGAGGACTTTGACGATTCCATTGAGGATGACGAGGAGATGGTGCGTCCCAGCAAAGCCGCAAAGCGTGAGATTAGCCTGAAACGCGCACGCGGCAGCACCGAAAGCATCAACCTGTCGCCCTGCAGCGTCAAGGATACGGACTTTGAGCAGCTCAAGCATTGCCAGGTGTCGCTGCGTCGTCTGCCGGACGTGGCCAATTTGGCCACCTTCTGCATGACCCATCAGCTGTACAAATGCTTCTGCGGTGGCTTGGCGACCGAGGGCAAGCCAATTGTGATTGATAAAGAGCAAGCGGAGCTGCCCATACCGCACTATGTGCCCGAACTGGCTACGCGCGCTCACTACAGTTTCGAGCGTCCACCTGAGGAGCCGCAGTCCAGCAAAAAACGGCGCAAGGAAAAACCACAACCGCAGCAACAGCAGCAGCAGCTAAAACTGCCGCAGCTACAGAAGCAGGTTCAGTTGCAGAAGCAACCGCCGCAGGTGATCAAGATCATACCTCCTAAACCGGCGGCACCGAGTGCCTTGCCAGTACAACCGCCCCCACCACCCGCACCCAAGGCCTGCGCGGCGGTGGCGCCAACCCAACGTCCCGCCGAGCTGGACATTATCTTTAGCTACTATCGCTCACGTCCCAGTTTGTGCCGTCGCGCTGTATCCGTTCCCCGCAATTGTTATTTGCGTCTGAATAGACGTCGGGCGAAGCGCATGCGTTCGGAGGTGGCACGCGCCGAGACGTTGCAAACGCAGGAGCTGCTCGAGAAACGCGTCATTAGCGCCGTGCGCTACTATCGCTCCGAGCTGGATCAGCAGCGGCGTCTGGAGTTGCAGATATTGGCGCCAGAGATGACCGTTATCGAGGTGGGTGATGATTCCGATGAGAGCGAAACGAATCGAGTGGCAACCATTGATATGGCACGCAAGCGCAGCGCCAATGAGTCCACTTGCCTGGAGGAGCAACCCAAGCGCAAAAAGCAGTTGACAGCAGACCAGAATCAGTCACTGATACAGCCCGCACCCAAACTGGATATACAAATGCCTAAAATTTCTGCCTGCTATTCGCTGAACACCAATGCGGCGATAGATGCCGCCATGGGCAGCAACGAGTCGTCCGCTGTCGCTGTCAACGAAGATAGTCCCACCGTGGATTCGATCTCCTTCCGTACCTCCTATAATGATGTCATCAAGAAGATGAACACGCATGTGAGCAAAAAAATGCAGGACATCGATCTGGCGCTGCAGCGTGAGAGCAAAATAATTCCGGCTCCGAACGAGGAGATATTGTGCATCATCAAGTGGACCAACTTTCTGGCCGCCTTCGAGTCCAGCTATGTCTTCATCTGGGATGTACAAATGAAGAACTACAGCTTCCTGGCCGCGACCATTACGAACATGATGCCAGCCGTTTGTGGGGCCATTGCCGTGGTCAACACCCATTTTGCGCCCGATCGCAATGCCTTGCCGCTGATGGCGCGCATGCTGCTGGAGGGCAAGCGGAATGATAACACCAGCCGGCTGGCGGTGGTAATGCAGGGCAGGCAACAGTATTGGCTGGTCAAGGGCTTCCTGCGATACATGGAGGGTAATGCGTGCACGAAGCCAACGCCACAAACCCATCCCATACTGACCAAAAAGATAAATGTCCTGTGCACGCTGATGGTGAAGCAGCGCATCAGGGAGCAGCAGCGCCATCAGCGGGCAGCAGCTGCAGCTGCAGCCAAACCTGGCGAGGACACAGGCTTGCTCAGCATTAAAGGGGCGTCGCCCGCAACAGCGACCCCACCAACTCCACCGGAAACTCCAACTGCAGTTCCAGCTTTGCCGGCACCAGCTGCCGCCACAACCGCAGCCAGCACAGTATTAGCTCCAGTCACATCTACACCAGCTCCCACAGCCACAGTTGCGGCTGCACGGGCCACATTCAACTCAGCTACCGAAAGCAAGGAGCCCACTCTTAACATCTGCAGCAACATTGAATTCCGCAAGGTCGTCCAAACGGACGTGACAGAGCTGCAAATGCCCGAGATGTACACACATGATCATCGCTGGCTGGTGCTAAATCTCTACGATGACTTCTCGCACATCTTTGTGCCTGCCTTCAAGGACATGATCTCATTGGACCGCATACACAATGTGGTGCGCGTCGCACACGATACCGAAAAGATCGTGAAGCTGCAATTCTTTCAGGATGCGCCCTACGATGCCTTCGTGACGCCCTCGTCCAGGCGTAAAATATACTTTGGGCCGCTGCGCTTGGATATGCAGCCGCCGGTGCTGGTGCTGCTGCAAAGTGTCGATGGCAAGATGATGTTGCGCGAGGTCTACCAGCGGGATCATAACATTCCGGTCCAGCGTGACAGGCGCACCATGGCCTTTTGGCTGCTCCAGATTAACGGGCAGGTGCACTTCGATATCGATTTGGCTGCCACGAGCGCGTCGACGAAGTTGAACAGATCGGAGCCTATTGCAGAGCAGTTGCAGCAGGGTCAGGATACAGATGACGATGACGATTGCGTCATCGTTATCAACGATGATGAGGATGATGCTGCAAAGGAAGATCCGCTCGTAAAGGAGCAGACTAAGCAGCAGCAGCAGCAGACGCACGAGCAGAGCGTACAACGCATCAACTTTACCATTCAGTCGACACCCAACAATGGCGGCGGCCTGCAGATAACAGCAGCTAGTCCACATTCAGCTGGTGGTGTTAAGGAACTGCACACCTCAACGCTGCCCGGCGGCTTTGTGCCGTTTATAGCAAATGTGCCTGCTACGGGCGGCACTGCGCCGGCCACACAATTTCTCACGCCGCAGGTGCAGCTCACCCAGACCGCAGGACCAGCGCCAGCGCCACCGTCAGCTGTGGCCAGTAGTGAGGCAAATGCTCAACCGCCTCCACCAAAAATAAGTCGCATCTCGGTGCAGCGCTGTGCGGCGCCAGCAACAGCGACAACTGTTGGTGCCACCACCAAGGACTCGCCGCCCACGAAAATCAACAATACGCTACAGCAACTGCTGAGCAGTGGTAATGGCAACATCAAAATAGGCACATCCTCGACTGGCGTTACCATCACCAAGATGAAGAACAAAGATGGATCCGCGGCAGCTGCTCCTGCTGTTGAGCCCATCAAAATAGGTGCCAAACGCAAGACGCAGGAGTTGCCAACGCAGCCAGCAGCTATTCCGATTGGACAGCCTTCCATTCTTAAGCAAACGGCTACCACCATATCCATTGGCAATCTGCCGCCGGTGCGTCAGGTACGTCCGCCGCCAAAGCTGGCGGCCAAGGCACAATTGGCAACGGTGCGCAAATCGCTGCCCGCCAAACTGCCTAGCGCTGTCGAGCCGGTGAGGACATCGCTGCCTGGCAAGCTGGTGATGGCCGGGTCGACGCTGCCGAACGAGAGCCCGGAGGCAAACAAAATGCAACGCTTCCCCACGACGGTGAATGCCAGCAAGACGAGATATGGCTTTCTGGTGGCCAAGGCTTTGCCGCGCTTCAGGGTCAAGATGATGGACGGCAAGATTATGGTCAAGGTGCCCGATGAGGGCGTGTTCTCGTTCAAAACCTGCGCCGCCGCTAGCGCCTATCTTAATCGGTGAGTTCTCGACAAGCTTATGGGCACTCGGCAGATCACGTAACTAACATTTGCGCATTTTCCGATTACAGACATTTGTCGCGTCAGTTGAATTTCAAGGGTTCTTTGCCAGGTGATTGGAAGTTTTTACCCTATGACAATCCCAATCTAACGGCCAACGAGGATCGAAAGGATTCAAATGCAACACCCATTGTAATCGAAGATTAACCAAAGTGAGAGGATAATCGGTATCCAAAAACAACAACAAAAAATATATAGAAAAAACACCCGCGCAGCAGCTAAAATAGACACAACTCATATTTGATATGTAGACAATTAAGTTGTTAATTTAATTATTTACCATGAATTATTTAGTTTCTTTAATTATGAATTGAAGTAATTTTAATTATATATGTATAGTTTTTTTTTGGTTTCTACATAAACGAGAGAGCCAGCGAGCAGGAGAGAAGGAGATAGCACAAAAATAAACAAACAAAACAAGAAAACTCAGTTCCAATTCCAATTCGCTCGCGCGTTGTTCCAATGCCATTTCGTTTCAGCCCAGCAGAACAGCTGTTCGCAGCTGGTTTAGCGTGTTCCGTGTGTGATAGCGTTCGCTTGTGTGTGAGCAGCGATTGCAAAGTAAAAAGTAAATACGCGTCTGTGCGGTGTTTATTTCTAATAAATATAAGTACAAAATCGAAAAAAGCTTCGATTAAATCCTGATAAGCCATCAAAGCACAAACGCTTCAAGTTTCGAGAAATTGGCAAAAACGAACCAAGGTCAGTCATTCGACACAGCCAAGAATACACGTATCTACATATTTATGTATGCTAGTGATGAGTCGGTGAATGCTGCCAAATTTGAGTTAGAAGTGATCTATATAAAGTCCACTAAAAACTAATTAGCTATTATTAGATAGATTCAGTTAATTGTGTCTTAATTTGTTAAACTTGGCTTAAATGCTGTTCCATAGTTGCAGATTTGTGAGAATACTAACGGCAAAAAGTTAAAAGTGCTTAGCTGTATAAAGTTCACTATAAATTGGGAGCTGTTTGTGTGCATATAGAAAAAATTGAAAAGAAATGCGGTCATTACAAATCACTTGTTATTACAATTGTTAAAATCAGCCAATTTTTGTGTCGTTTAAATTTTTATATTTAGTTCCTTAAAGGTTAAAGATCAATAATTATAACATTCAAGAACCGCAATATCGCTCATCTCTATCCATATGCGTACATATGTGTATTCGTATATAGGTATGTAGGTGTATACGTCACATTGAGCACGAGCAAATGTGTGCGATATTGTATGTAAGCTTTGCTAATGAAAGCGCATCGGGCTTTGTAATATAAACTATTTTTATATTTCCATTCCAGTCACAAAGAGCAACGCACGGCGAGCATACGAAAAACTCTAAAAAAAAATCCGTGTAAAGTAATCCGCTCAAAAGTAAAAAGACAAAATGGACAGAGTCGACTCGAGCCGGTCTCAGGAAGATGGTTTGGGCTATGTACACATCCAGGATATTCCAGCGCTGAATCAGGAGCACTGCAAAATGCTTGATCCGCAGCGCGTGGAGCGCATTATCAACGAGTTTGTGTGCGGCGGTCCGGAGCGCATGCAACTGGTTTCCGACTTCGACTATACCATTACCAAGCAACGCACTGACGACGGGTTGCCGGTGCTCTCGAGTTTTGGTATCTTCAATGAATGCAAATCCTTGCCACCAGTCTTCAAGACGGAGACTGACAAGCTCTTTCACAAATATCGGCCCATCGAGATAGATCCACATATGCCAAAAGCGGAGAAGATTCAGTACATGATTGAGTGGTGGACAAAATCGGGCGAGCTGACCAGCGGCTTCCCCTTTGATCAGTCCGAAATAGATCAGATGGCCAGCAAATTTAAGCATGCGCTACGTGACCGAACGCATGAGCTGTTCGAGACGCTGCTGCGACTGCAAATACCTGTGCTGGTGTTCTCTGCCGGCCTGGGCAACTCGGTGGTGTCGGTGCTGCGACAGGCGAACATCATGTATCCCAATGTGAAAGTTATCTCAAACTTTTTGCAGTACCGCGACGGTCTGTTGGCCGGCTTCCAGGAGCCGATGATACACACATTCAACAAGAATGAAACTGTGCTAAGTGGCAGCGAGTATTATGATTTGGTCCACACACGTGATCACATCATCGTCATGGGTGATTCCCTGGGCGATGCGGACATGGCTGCCGGTGTGCCCGCCTCCTCGCACATTATGAAAATTGGCTTTCTCTTCGATCACGTCGAGGCGAACATGGATAAATACATGAACACGTTCGACATTGTGCTTGTCGATGATCAAACAATGGATGTGCCACGAGCGCTGCTCGCGCTCATCGAGCAACGTCACCAGCTGCGCCATCCCCACCTTGCGAACGGATCCAGTGCACCCAAGGTGAACGCTGCACTTTAAATTTATTGGTTACCCGTAAACGATTTGTGTTAATTGATTATAATAAAGAAAAACAGAAGCGACTAATTAGATGGTTTAGTTTTAAAACCTCCCTCATGTTTCATATATTTATGTACATACGTTTGTATATCATAATAAAATGATATTTGTTTAGAAATGAGCGTTTAACAACAACACGGACCGGAAGTACTTTTATATATTTTTTACTCTACTATCTTATTTCCCAAATCTTTGCTTAGATATGAGATATTATTTTTGTATATGCTTCTTGACTGCGATTATTTTGTGGACTTATAAAAATGAATTAAATCCAAAAAAGACATGACATGGTTTTTGCAATTCATTGAGGAAAAAAAAACGGCTTAAGAGTCTTATGTAATTTATCATATGTTGCAAACATCATGTTGATTTCTTACATAAAACATTTTTGATATGACGCAAAAATGTTTCACATTGAAACTCAACACAAGTAAATGCTAGAAAACTATTAGATGATAAATTATCGCCAGGCTTGCGATTTATATTGGTTCCCTGTGTAGAAAACATCGATTAATTAGTGAAGTAAGGGTATACAGGCGTCGCTAGCTCGAAAATAAATGGTATTTTTATTTATTTTTGTTTCTCGCAAACTGTGTTATTTTTGAGGTGTTTACCAGTCGCAGTTTTCAGCTGTTTTACGTATTACGGGTTCTATCAGCTGATCTGGCGGGGCGGGAGCTAAGTAAATATGAGAATGCAGATATAAATTGAAAACAGTGGTGCGGAACAGGCGGTTGGAAGTCAAAATCTGTTTTGAGAATAGAAATAGAATGAATAAAGTGTCGTTTATTTATCAAAATGCTTGGGATATGTATGAATAATATATAACCAAATTGGCAAGCATTCAATATTTGGGCGATAAAGCAAAATATAAAACCAAAAAACAAAAATTTGAAACCCGTTAGAAATCCATTTATTAATAACAACATTTTTAAACAAACGACACAGGCATGTTTTATATCCTTAACGATTTAGGTTATTATTAAAGGAGTAAATAGTTGTTAAATAGATTCAATTGGAAATAAACCCTTTTTGAGTTAACTTTCATAATACAAAAGTAAATACAAATAAAAATAGAAATAACATTTGCAACAAGCATTAAAAAAATGTAATTAACAGGCAAATATAACGTACGTAATGGTATTCGACTGTTTCTTTGATGTTTATTAACACTGTACAACCGTATAGTGCTGGACAGCGACGAACAGCTGGCAGTTTTGTCATTAATTAGTGCTTTTGCCCAACACAGAGAAAATATACAAATCATTCGTTTTAGCAGTTTTTTTTACGCAGCCAGAAAATTTAACGTAGACAAGTGAAAAGTGTCTTTTAAGTTGCAGTTAAAGCAGTATAACTAGAAGAACTGCTGCCGTCTGTTGCACTTTGGCATTGCAGCAGCGCAGAGACGAATCCCAATTAAGAAACAAAAATTATGTGCTGAGTGGGGGTGAGCGATTGATCAGCTGGGGGAAAATACAACAACAGCAGCATTAGCAGCAGCAGCAGTAGGAGCGGAACTGCTGACAACAATTGCAGCGTCATGTTTGGCTTTGATGGAGAGTATCGGCGCCGACCGGTGCAAAGTCTTGGGGGCGCCTCACAGACCTGCGACAGGGACACGGCCATACGCAAAGCGGCCCTGGAGCGTCAGAAACGCAACGAGCTGCGCCAGAAGACGCACGGCGCTGTTGTGTTGCAATCATATGCTCGCTCCTTTATCTATCGCCAGCGACGCAAACGGGCTGAACGGGAGGCCTTTGATGCGTATCTGCACGCTCACCGGGATCGTGTTACCGAGGATGAGAGCATGTGCTTTCTGCTGCGGCGCCTCACCTTCTTCTACAGCAATCGCGTGGCCAAGGACAGCGAGCGACTGGTGAGTCAGAGCTAACAATTCGCTTACATAGCTTTATTAATTTGATTGCTTGATTAGATTGAAATTTGCCAGCCGATCTTGCGGAATCCGGTACGCCTGCTGCAGCATTCAGCACATGACTCCGTTTGGCTGCTGCGCGTGTGTAAGATTCTGGATGCGTGCCTGTTGCAGTTGGCGCTGCCGCACAGCGCCCAGGCCATACCGCTGCGCATGCTGGAGACATTTACCACGGTGGCATCCGTGGAGCGCTATGTGGAGGATGAGGCGGTGTTGTACAAGTATCTGGAACGTGTGTTTGTCTTCCTCATTACGCGAAATTATTTTGTGCGTTTGCGCCAGCTGTTAGATGAAAAGTGCCCGCCGCTGGACGGCGAAACACTGCATGCTCCTACTCCATTCGTTGATGCCCTGATGCAACTGCTGCTGCGACCGTTGAGCGTGGCCATGCGCCAGCCGGGGAACGAGTCATCACAGCTCTTTTGTCGCAGATTCATTATCGATATTTTGGCCACGCCACACACGGAGCCGCTGCGTCACTTTGTGTTGCCCTGTCTGGCCGAGAGCGAAGACTTTCCCTTTGCGTTGCTCATGCACGCGCTGCATGCGCTTCTCGATTTAAGCCAGGCCACGTCCGGCTCAGATCCAGCGATCACAGATAATGGCAAGCCCAATACTTTGTTATACGGTGTCCTACAATCCGATGAGGCCAAGCAGCTAAAATCGCAGCCGCGTGAAGCCTTATTTAGCTCATTTTTGCTAAACTCGATGCTGGTTCTGGACCGCAGGCAGTTGGGTGAGTGTCTATAATCTTCTTTCAAAGCAACAACATTATTTTTTGACCCCTCCACAGCCTCACTGCAGCAGAGCGACCTACTGATTGTCTATGTACGTGTTGTTGCCCAAATGATGCCCAACATATTGCAGCTGCCCAAATCGACGCTGCGCACGCATGCGACACCACATCGCCACACAGACTCCGATGATGACGACGATACGGATGAGTCCGAGGAGGAGGGGGAGGACCTGCCAACGACTCACACTATTGATTATGACATGTTACAGTCCTGCCGCCCCACTGGCGAACTGAGCAGCAAAGAGCGGAACAGTCTGCTGGAATCGATAGCCATATTAAACGAAACGCAGCGCGTGGATTTTATTGTGCAGCAAATTGAGCCGCACATTGAACAGAGCCAGGTGATCTACGCGCTCTGCGAGATCTGTCACAATCTAATGATATACAATAAGCATGCGGTCTATGAGTACAAGTATGATTTGATCTATTGCTACCTCTTGCTATGTGCCTAATTTCGCCTTGATTTTTCAGACTGCTGTATACTTTGGCCTTTACGCCAAAATTTATACGCGCCGTTTGGTTTAAGTTGGCCGCCGAGTCAACGCAACTGGGCTTCTCAGCACCGCTCACACTTATTTCTAAGGGCGTTGTGCGTAAGTATAAAATCAAAGTATTCACAAGATCATTTGAATTAAAATCTAATGCAATTGGTTTTGACAGCCAAGCAACAGGGCGTGGATCGTACTATTCCTTTGCTGGCCACCTTTTGCATGCTCTTTGGCCGCCTGTTGCCCACGCTGCACGATGTGGAGTTTGTCGAAAAAAAACTACTGGAGTCGGCCCCGCCGCATCATGTACGGCTCATGCCGTTTTCGATTGCGGAGATAGTGCAAATGTCCAAGACGCTGAAGGACATAAGCTTGGGTCTGGTAGAGCTCGCCTTTCGCAGTGTGCTGAGCCACACTGACGCCGATGACAAGACGCTGCGTCATCAGAAACAAATCTGGGCCAATTTGTTAAATGTTGTAGTCTTTGTGCTCAATCAGATACATTCGCGTGATCTGCGTATGGGCTTCTGCCCGGAAGGGCATTGGACTGTTTCTCGCTTGGATTTGCCACTGGACAGACCAACAGATCTGCCATTGACACACAGCAGTCGCATGCGCGGCATTCGCCCATTTCAGCCCATACGCGACTTTACGCGCGAGGACTTTGAGAACGGGCCGCCCATGTCAACTAAACAAAAACGATCCATTACCATACTACGCGAAATACCCTTTGTGGTGGCCTTCAATAAACGCGTAAGCATATTACAGGGCCTGGTTGCGGCTAACAAGATGCGTGTGCAGGGTCATCTACAGGCCTTTCTGCAGGGTCCTTCCATTATGGTGACTGTGCGCCGCACGCATCTATATGAGGATGCCTACGACAAGCTGCGTCCAGAGAATGGTTCGAAACAAAAATGTTGTAATGCTAAATATTTATTAATAAATTTTCTTTTTCAGAACCGGACTTGCGCTTAAAGTTTCGCATTCAGTTTGTGTCCCAGTTGGGACTGGACGAGGCAGGCATTGATGGTGGAGGCGTGTTTCGCGAATTTCTATCGGAACTGATTAAAACTGCCTTTGATCCCAATCGTGGCTTCTTTATGTACGATTATGAGAAACCAATATACATTTAATTCAATATTAATGAATGTTTCGCCCTTAGGGTAACGACGGACAACAAATTGTATCCCAATCCCAATGTATCGGATCTCTTTAGTGACTTTGAGAAGCATTATTATTTCATTGGCCGTATTTTGGGCAAAGCAATCTATGAGAATTTGCTGGTGGAGCTGCCGTTAGCTGAGTTCTTTTTAACCAAACTCGCTGGAAAGTATTCAGACGTGGATATACATCAATTGGCTTCGCTGGATCCGGAACTATATCGCAATCTGCTTTACCTCAAGGATTATCCAGGCGATGTTAGTGAATTGAATTTGGATTTTACAGTAGCTAGCAGTTCGCTGGGACAGACGCAAGTGGTCGAATTAAAACCGCAAGGTCAGAGCACGCCGGTTACCAACTCGAATCGCATCGAGTATCTGCAGCTCATAGCCAACTTTAAGCTCAACGTGCAGATAAAACGTCACTGTAAGGCCTTCCGCAAGGGGCTGTCCAATGTGTTGCCCATCGAGTGGCTATACATGTTCAGCAACAAGGAGCTGCAAATACTCATTTCGGGCGCCGAAATACCTATCGATCTGGAGGATCTTAAAAAGCACTGCAAATATGGTGGGGAGTACACGCCAGAGCATCCCTCAATTGTTGCATTCTGGGAGGCTTTGGAGGGTTTCGATGATTTGCAACGGCGGCAGCTGCTTAAGTTTGTCACCAGTTGCTCGCGGCCACCGTTGCTTGGTTTTAAGGTGAGTTATTTCTAACAGAAATTCTATACTCTTTTCTCATTCAATTGTTGTCTACTTCAGGACTTGGATCCACCCTTTTTTATACAGAACGCTGGGGATATGGAGCGTCTGCCTACGGCCAGCACCTGCACGAATCTGTTGAAGCTGCCGCCTTTCAAGAACGCTGAACAGATGCGCGAAAAGTTAATATATGCCATACAGTCCGGTGTAGGCTTTGAACTTAGCTAAGCTGTGTCCCGGCATACCAATTACTACACACATATCGAATGCAATGAACCCACACAGAGACCGATTCGAGCGCCCATCCAGCTGCAGGAATCGATGGCTGGCCAAGCAACTATTCCAGTTCACGTAGAAATTTAATTATGAAAATCGTAATTAATTGTCTAATGTAAAGTATGAAGCTTATGAGGTCTGTTTTCCAAGTTTTCTTTTTAGTTAATTTGTGTTTTTTTCGTATTACACAATATAAATGTAAAAAAAAACGAAAACACGATTTGTTTTAGCAATTTTCATGTGGAAAAATTACGGAAAATGTTAGAAATCGAATAGCCGAGGCCTAAAGCCAAGCTCTTTAAACTACGAGCCGCCTCATGCCACTCGGCTTGCCGGGCAATTTATGTGGCTATCTTTGTGTTTGTATGTTTTCGAGAGTGTGTGCGTGTGTGCAGGCTGCTATTTCCGTTTCATTGCGACACAAAGCATGCGGAAGTGCACGCAGATGCACACAAGAGCTGCAGCACAAGCATTCAGAGGTACAGGTCCTGCTCCTGTCCAGTGCTTGGCTTGATTTAGCGCCATTTTCAAGTTGAATTTTTACTTGATTACAAAATATTTTGCTTCCTTTCATTGATCATCAATAACAAATAAATGGGAATTTACTTTCAAATGTATTTCACATATAAATTGTTTATTTTTAAAATGGGAAAATAGAGTGCAAAAACATACTGAAGCCAACTATTTATTTGTTTTTAACTTGTTTGTGGCTACATCAACTGTGAAGGTAAAAAATAAATAAATCAATCTTGGCTATATAATTTTTAAAATACTAAATATTTTTTATTGAGAGTAACAAGGATGTTTTATTTTTGTTTATATTAGCAAATCACAAAATTTCATTCACTTCATTTAAAATTCGATTCGACTTCTTGGAAAGGACATAAACATGTTAAGCTAAAGTAAAACCTTTCTTTATAGATCCACCAAATGCTATTGTCTGCTTCTAGAGCACAACCTCCACTTAAGTTGCCTTAAATGTAATAAATAAAACGATTGAAAATATGTGAGTTTGGCCTAGTGCAGCCCAATCTAAAGACTAACTTGAGAGTACAACTGGCAAACCAACAGCTTACTCCTCTGATAACGTTGGTATCTCTATTATAAGTTTAGAGCCTTAAGTTTAATTATATATTTGAGAACTGACAATGCTTTTATATAAGACAAATGAGAATAGTTGTTACTAAGCTAAAATTTACCATATTCACAATAATCCTTGCTATGCAGTTTCTCTATTCCGATCAATATACCGCCGCTATAATCGGCAAAACCTTCTTTTTTGCGAAAGAGATTCACGGATCCATTAATGCGTTGCTGTATAACTGTTTAGCCGGGTCCGACAAGGCCGACAATTGCCGAATGTTGCTTATCTGTTGCTTATATAAAGTTAGCCAAAATTGTTGTATCAACTTTGCGTATATAGATTCTTTTAAATTTAGAGCTAGACTATCCAGCTTATCTCGTCGCAAAGTTTTCACTATTCCAAGAGAATTCTGTTTCCCAAAAAATTTACGTTTGACTTTTAATTTTCAACGAATTATTTACTAAACAATAAAAATATTAATATACTTTATATATAAAAGTTTAATAAACTTAAACAATGTTTTACTTTTGATAATTTTAAAATTGTAATATCTCTCAAGGCTGCAAGCCGGGTTGAGCTCGGTTCTCACAAAAAAAATCAAACTTAATCCGTAACCGAACAATTTTTTTATAATGCATTCTTTCAAAATTCTTTTTCAACTATCGCATTTATCGAATCAAATTTGGTAATTTCCAATTTTGAAAAGATATGAAATTTAGTGTGCAACTTGTTTTAAATAATAAAAATGTTTCAAACATATAACAACCCAAGGCTTGAATCACATCCTTGGCTCGTGATTGTGGAAAACTGGGCTCCTAAATCGAACCTTAAGGCAGAAAGTTGGTTCCAAATAGCCTAAATTCTGAGTCGAGTCTGGAGCCCTGATCTTTATCTAATCTGTATCCATATATCTTTTAATTTTACCATCTATACTCAATTTATTTGTCTGGCCTGTTGTATGATGCGTTCGTAGATCATCTGCGGCGCCGTGGTCGCATAGAGGAAATCAATGTGATTATAGCCCCGCACCTGGTAGAGCTTGACCCGACTGTTGCGCAACTCTCGCACCAAATGCTGCACATCCCGGCGGCTGGACAATGCATCCCGGTTACCATAGAAGAGCATTAGGTTGAGTCGCACATTTTCCAGCTGATAGGTGGGTGGTGTGGCCTGGCCGTAGCGCAGCGAGTTGAGCCGTGCCGAGCTGTAGTCGTACTGTTGGAATTTACCTGCATGGACAGAGCAAGGCTGTAGCTGACAGTGCAATCCAGCAGCTGGTGCGGATGGTCATTGTCTTACCGCTGTTGATGAGCTGCCCAAAGTGCAGCAGTTGACCACGTGAGATGCCCGCCGGTGTCGTCTCCAGAATGCGTGGGAATATGCTCTGCAAAATGCGAAATTTTCAATTGATGAGGCACAAAAGCCAAAAGCCAAGCATTGAAATTTACGACCTGCCCCACTGCCACTTAACTGTCAGCTCTTCGGAGTGTCTGTGCTTGTGTGTGTGTGTGTCTGAGTGTGTGTCTGTGTGTGTGTCTGTGTGTGTGTCTATGTGTGTGCTAGCTGTTATTTCCGTTTCAATGTGACACAAAGCACACGGAAGTGCATGCAGCCACACACACACACACACACACACAAACAAGAGCCGGCACAACGACATAAAGGAATGGAGGTCCTGCTACTGACCTGCTCCTTGGCCTGAATCGGCTTAACGACATTGTGTTTATACTTTTCTTTTGGAGTTTTAAATTATTATAAGCTGCTCTAGAAGATTGAAGATGTATTAAATAATATATGCAAAAAGTCGGAAAGCTTAAATGTATCCCCAACTGAAAAGCGACACTCAGGAAGCAGGAGCTATTATTTATCTTATACTAGTATATCTTTTTGTCCTGACTGTCTGACTGGTAAGCAGACAACTCTCATACAACCCTTTTTAGCTAATTAACCAGTGTTGTGGGGTGCAATTTCCCAAATCGCTGAAACACGTGTTCCTTAAGTTCTTATGTTAAGCTTTAAACAAAAATTTGATGCAAATCTTACAACTTCGCTCAAAACATCTCTGAATCGCATTTCTACCGAGGAAGCTTGGATTCAGCGAAAAGTGTGAAACACGTCTCATATAGTTCCTTGGAAAGGAAATTCTTACATTCATAGAAACATACACGCATTCATATACCCAAACACATTCACACACATGTATATATATACATATGTGTATGCATACGAACAAGCATACATATATACTACATCATACATACTTAATAACCCGCATCACTTCATACACACATGCATATACATTTACAGACGTACATACATTAATAAAAACATACGAACATTCATTTGTTAGAAACGGGGCTCAAAGATTTGGTTGGTGAAGCTTCAGGTTTAAATTATTTCCCAATATTTTTTTTTTAAATCATTTGATACTTGTTTTACACTTTTCGCAGGATTCAAGTTTCCTCCGTGGAAAAAAGCGTTTGGCTTTTTGGGGGAAGTTCATAAGAACTTAAAGAACACGTGATTCCGCGATTTTGGAATATCAAATCCGCATCTGTGATAAATTGGCGGAAAATGGTTGTATGAAAGTTTTATTCAAAGATCTTTATGAAAATGAATCTAATATGTATATCGCACTTTTCGTAAAATCCAACTGAATTGGAATTGCTACCTTTTCTTAAATTGAACTAGTTGTGGAAATAACAAATAACTTGTATAACTGCAGAGATCAGGCAGTATAGGAATTGCAAATAAAAAAGTATGTTTTATATATATAATTTTGGGGAAAAGATTTAATAAATATTGAACAGGTTAAAAATTTAGTGAAAAAAATATACTGCAAATGCAGGGATCAAGGACTTGCCAAACGAATTTGTTTTTTAAACTGGGCTCTTAATAACCCATCTAGATCAAGTTTTGTTTAAAATGAGATTCAGAAAATTATACCGAAACAAATTTATATATATATTGGATGTTGGGAGTTCAAATTATTGCTTTAAAATTTGTATCCACAATAAACAAAATGTCAAATGAACGCAAAGTATTGCTTAGTTATTTAGTTACCAAAAAAATAAAACAAATATAAATTTGTATACAGAAAATATCTTTTGATATAATCTGTAAATCCCAATGGTTTTCTCTCTCTTTTTTTTGAATTATTTTGACAGTTCCTCAGTTGGTTGTGTCTCACGTCCTGCGGCAACATATTTTGTTTTGTTTTGATGCTTATTTGATTTTCCGGCTGCCCGATGCATTTTTTCTATTTCTTTCTATTCTGGCTTCTTTTCAATTGCTGCCACTTGCCACTGCCCCGCTGCAACTTGTGGCAAATAGTTTTGTGTGTCGCCTGCACAGCCGGCAGCTTGTTTGTGTTTCCAGAGTTCTTCTCAGTTTGCTTCTTTTTTTGTTTCTTGTTATTGTTTGTTGTTGTTGCATCAAATCATGCTTCACGCATTGCAGTTGCAAAGTGTGCTGAACTTTATGTGGCGTGAAGGCAGGAGGAGTGTGGGGGGGGGGGGGTTGGCAAGGCAGAGCGTGGTGCTCTCAGCTAAATATGCACAAATATTTATTTGCGCGGGCAGCGAGTAAAACGAGTAGGCAACGAGTAGGGGGCATGAGTGGGATTGAGTATGTTGCGATTGGGGCAGCGCGGGGCAGCCAGCTGTATATTGTGCGGCATGTTTGGCAGTTGTCACAGCATATCTTGCCCCTGCCCTGGCCACCACCCACCCTGACGGAGGGAAGTCATCGCCTTGCGCTATTTGCTTAGCAATTTTGGTGCCTGTTCAGCGTCTGAGACTCTGCTCCATGCTCGTCGACTATTTGCCCGCTTGTTTGTTGACTTTTTTATGGGAGCAATGACGATTTCAGAGATACAGCACGCGGTTGCACTTAGCTTCTAGCTGCCTGTGGCACGAGCTTTGTTGATTTGACTTTAAATTTGAAATGTGAGATATTCGAACTTTTTTATTGCTCGATCGACCCGAAAGAAATTTTCAGCGTGTATCGGTTGCTCTGAGCTTGTTTGTGGAATTCTTGAAGGATAAATATGTATTCGTATTATTTTAAGAGAATTGAAATAGGTGAAAGTGCGTTTTACAGGCTGACCTTAGTAATTTATATGTTCATTATTTTTAATAATTATTTTAATAATACTTTTTAATACGGATAAGCAAATTCTTCGTTTAAATATATTCAATATACAAACATTTATCTAGCTTTCAATATCTGAGTTTTCCAAAAATTGCCAAATCGTGACGTTTTTAAATATTTTTAATTGATTATTCTTAAAAACCTTACTATTATGTAAAGAAATAAGTCTTAAAAAACTCATATTTTGCCGAAGCGTAAAACAATTTATTTTGCTCACCTGTCTCTATTGAATATGCTTCAGTTTTACACTTCTGTTTTCAAAACAAGTTGAAGTATAAACCAAAGTTTTAGTACTGTACTACAGAAGAGATTCCGAAACTATCTATTGCCTGTCAAACTTTTGCACCTTTTTTGCTGGGCAACTATAAAAGTGCTATAGCTTCTGCCACACACACACACACACACATTTACGTTTACATTTTTTTTTTTTGGAAATTTTGTATGTGCTGTTTTTGTAGTCAACCCGGCCAAAGCCAATTGCCAGTGCCCTTAGCCTAATAACTAACAGGCACTTGGCGCCAACCTCTTTGGGCCACTCCACAACAGGGCTTAGCCTTTTGAGCACGCGCCCCGAACGCCGTACAGATAAGCCATAAAGTTTGGCAAAAATAACACGAGCGCGATTTATTTGCCATATTTCATGGCAAAACAAAATTTAAATGTGCCGTGTGCGAAAACAAAAAGTGTTTAAGGCAACGTGGCGTATACGTAATGTGTGTTGTATAGTTACCAGCTGGAGAGCGCGGGCGGCCGGCACGAGCCCGTCGGTCGCGGCCAGGCCGTTGCCGGGCCCCAACGGCTGGCAGAGGCAAAAGTTTAGCGCACCTTTTGGTGCACATTACAGCAAAAAATCCAGAGATGTATGAACGTGCAAACATCATCGAATATGCAATACACTTACAGCTAGTAAAAGTCATATGTAATCCTTTCACCTTTCGAATCGATTTGAACCAAAATTGTATTATTTTAAATATTTATTAAAACATTTTAATTGGAAATTCATAATAGAACAAAGGAATAAAGAAACATGGCAGAACAAGGTATCGAAGATATCGATGAAGGTATCGAAGCATGAAAATCTGCCCTATATAAAAAGTACAAGTCGCAAAAGAACATTTGCTACTGATATTTCTGCCATGATCTGATGATGGTTTATACTAAATGCCAATAAAAATTAAAAACAAATTATCTTAGAAAACGATAAGCTTTTAAGGATAAAACAATCTGGAGGATATGCCAAGATCAAATTGGCGTCAAGCTTGATGCTTAAGAAAAATGTATACCTTGCCCTTATAATGCATTTTTGTAATTTAGTAAAAAAGCAAGTTATGTGAAACTAATTTAAAATCAAAATATATCACTTAATTGAATATTTCAATAAAAATTTCCTCCAAAAAGTGCTCGCTATAAAATGATACTTGATAATTATATAATATTCCAAAAGCTTCGTAATAAATTTGTTGACTCTATCCCCTAAAACCTATGAGATTTGCTCAAATGGAATTCAGGATTTCGAAATCGATTTTTGTTGATTCCTTGGAAACGGGGCAAGTTATCGATTATCAGAAACAAGCACGTACTGCGCGGGCCCTAAAAGCCCCCACGTTCAATTTCAAGTCTCTAGCTCGTATTCCCCTTTCCAAACAAAACAAAATTCTCAAAAAAATCGTCTATGATCTAGCTGTTACAGGCCGTTTAAGAAAGCTAATAGACTTTTGTCAAAGACTGTGAAAACAAACGTGCCACAATAGTTGGCACAACTGGCAGGAAACTGGGCAGGCAGCTCGTTTACGCATTTAAATTCAAATAACTTTTATTACCAAAACTAAAGCCGGCTCTTGAATGTATTTTTCTGTGTGCGGGTGTGTGTCTGTTAGTTGTGTGTGCGAGATTCAGAGAGTGGGCGGGGGTGGGTGTGTGGGGCGCACTCCTGAGTGCAATAAAAACTTTTACATACAACAAAACTTTGGGGCCGCTTTGTTGGCTAAATTATGACTGCATATATAATCGTACTCACACGATCCAGCGGATATTCACTGAAGCCCACATAGAGCGATGTGAGGAGCGTGCAGAGCGCATAGGTGGGCAGCGCTGGACTGCAGAAGAACTGCCCGCCCACCTGGCTCAGCGGCGTGGCGGGCAGCAGCTCGTGCAGGCCAAGGTGATTTAGCAGCAGCTGTAACAACACAAACACAATAGCAATGCATTAGCCACGCACAACGTGTGGTCTACGCAACATTAAGTATACGCACCGTGACGCCAGCCGGATCGCTGGCTAGTAAACGCAACGGCGGACTGCTCAAGTACTGCAAATACGCAATTGGCGCCAGCAGCACAACGCTCGCAAACCGTGCATTATAGTCGGGCCGCTGTGCCAGTAGCACGAGCAGCACTGTGGTGCCCTGAGAGTGACCCACATAGTGCAGCTGTCGCTGACCCGTCACGCCCAGCACATGCTCCACAATGGCGGGCAAGTCGTAGACGCCAATCTCATGCCAGCTGAAATCCCAAAAGGCCGGCTGCCTGGCCGACAATGTGCGATGTCTCCGCGATTCTGTGGTGCCCCGTGCATTGGGCAGCCAGACATCGAAGCAGCGTGCGTGCAGCTGGAATGCTAAGGCGCTTGCGCGGCCCGCAGCCACATAATCGCCTGCCGAACCGATTAGCCCATGCATCAGCACGAACGGCTGCAGTGTGGGGCAGCTCTGGTTGCGCGGCGGCGGAATACGTTGCACTGTGAGCTGATAACCGTCCACGGTTTGCACACGATGCACCTCACACTCCGCCCGATTGCGCTGCACAATTTGGCAAATGGCATCAAGACTGAACGCGAACTGGAGTCCACATCCCATCAGCATATAAACCAGGCACACACGCATTTTGTAGCACAGTGTTAGTTAAGACATATTGCCTATCGCGCTACCAACGCGACATACGAGCGGCGACTGTGGCCCAGTCGGAAGCTACTCACTGCTTTTTGTTCAACGCGGCGTATACGCAATGTAAATGGAGTGCGGTAGAGCGAGAGCGAGAGCGGCAGAGGGCGATGGAATAATAAAATATGAGAGTGCCGAGCGCACGATTCAAATACTTATAAGCAGGGCCACAGCTAATGCCAACCATAAATAAACAAACATTGAGCTCTGTTTGCTCGCAAGCCGACAATTGTTATGGCTAAAAATGATCAATTGCATAGGCCTAGAAAAGGTGTTACCGCTCGTAAGGGTATATTTGATACGGACATGGTTGACAACAATACGCAATATAGAAAATATCTGTTTTATTCATATTATTACAATTTTAATGTAATCAACACATTATCATTTTATGCAATTTTATGTAACAAGCAGCAGTCATTTCCGGTCCATAATCTCTCTATATATATATATATATATATATATAACTGTTTGTCCTGTCTGATTGACTGACTAATTAATAATTGATATTCTTACTGAACTTACCGAAGGTGTTAGTGAAGACGACTTTTGGAAAATTCGTCTCGTAACTGTAAAAAATTAGTGAAAAACGCTAAGCAGCCTATCGTAATCAAAATAAAAGTTTAAGAATTTTATAAAAATTTATTTCAGACATGTTTATACATACTTACCGCGTCTGATATAGGTGCACGTAAAAACGAATTTTTGGACAACTCCACTCGTATTTCTGGAAAATTAGTGAAAACTGTGGAAAATTTGAGACATGTTTTATACTCCATCGCTGTTGAATGGAAAATATTATTTTCTGGTTGGAATAATTGTGTTCTTGGAAATAAAGAGCTTAGTCGTTCACTAGTTGGAGGACGGAAAACAGGAATCCCGGAGGTTGGGTTGTATGGGCTAAACTTAAAGCCTCGCCCAAACGGGTTTAACTTATTATTATTACCAAAAATAAAAAAAAATGGTGAAAGTTTACTTAAATTATTCTAAAATTAAGTTCTTGTATAGGAAAGTCGTTAATTTTTTGAAGATATTCTATCCAGACGCTCACAGACTAATCAACTAATTGGATTGCGGTATCATATACCACACATTCGATCAATTGAGTGAATGCAAATACATCTATCGTAAATTCAGTAGGGTATTTCATCTTCGGCACTCGTATTGTTTACCAATTACAGATTTGTCTTCCCATTCTCTCTGGCTGTGTCTTGCTCGTTGAAAGGGTATTTGCTAGTTGCTTTCAAGATGGGAAAATCAATATTCTAGCGTGTTTAACAAACTTTTTTTGTTCATGCCCAACTTGTTAGATTTATGCCAAACGCTGTCGACGTGTTAATTGCTGAGCCCAAACGAACGGCTCCACATAAATAACTCATCTCGCTTGGTGGATCGCAGTCTGATGCCCGCCTCAAACGAGTGGCCAAGTGGCGTCGGTGATGCGGCCTTGTGGCCCTAATTAGCGATAATAATTTACTGCAAAATGTTGTGGTTCAAACTGAAGCGGGCTCCAGTAGCCCAGTCGTACGGCAGCTGGATTAAGAGTGTCGTCGTATCGTACGACTGGCATTATGGACATATATACATATATCGTTTCTAGTGCTGTTATTGTGAATGCGAATGCACATGTTTAACGGCCTATTTGATTTACAATTCGAATTGCGTCTACGTGCCGAAAATGCAATCGTGCTAATTAAAATGACCGCGATAGGGCGTGTGAAATTATTACATGCTGCCGATATGACGTCGAGTCCGCTTGGTGGCTCTCGCAACGTTTGCGGGTTCCACGGTAGGGGGTGAGTGGGTGGGGGAGGCGCTGCACTGATAGTGCGGTTAGCCAGCTGGCTATTCGTTTTGGCCATGCCTCAATTCAATTCGTAGAGAGGCACTACTAATAGCGCTCCGCATTGACGTCATCAGCAAGTTGAGGTTGGTCATTGCATTTTGGGCTCATTTCGTGCTGACTGAGCAGAAAATCTGTTTAGCGGCATCAAATTTATGGCCTTTGAAGTAAAATCAAATATTCTGCCGTGTATGGACCAATCTGACAAGATATCTGTACAACTGCCTGAACGATCCCGGAGCTTTGGAGAGCGGATATCCTTTATCCTGAAATGTTTGCTTATATTGTTTTTCAAACTATTCTAGTTTATTGAATACCACATTTTGTTTAACAATTCAATTCAAAACGTTATGAGCGGATGCATCTCCGACCCTATAAAGCATATGTATTCTTGGTCAGCATCATAGATTAGTCGATCTAGCCATGTTCGTCTGTCTGTCCGTCCATCCGTTTGTATGAATGCAAGGATATCAGAACCTATACAAGCTAGGGACTAGTAGCTTGTAGCATAGTATACACAAATCAGGTGTCTTTCATTTTCTATCTATTGCCAGTCCCCGCATCAACCCCTTAATACCATTTTGTGTTGGTAAAGAGGGTTCAGGGTATCATCTAGTCGGGAACTCTTGTTTAGTTGTATTTTTGCTTAAACGAAAATAAAAAATTGTTTATATCGTTTGTTTAAATGATTTCAGTGATGGTTTCAGCGAGAATTTGTAAAGCTATTCTAAGATTAAGATTACTCTGTTGTAGGTTTTTGTATCTTGCAAATGTGGGAATACTTTAACACAGAAAGCTTTATTGTGTATATAGAATATATAAGTTATACTGGAATCAAGAGAGCATAGAAACCTAGCAGCGGAAGCTATTAAATTTGCTATACATAACAGATACAGATTAAACTTCTTTAATGTTTGGGATAACTTATCAAACTTTAACCAAAATTAAAAATTAATTACCTTTGTAATTACAAACGCAGTGAAATGAAAGGAGATATATTGAAAATAAAGAAGAATATTTTTACTGCTTTATAGTTCCTTTTTGCTGTGACCTGATGTTGCACAGAATTTAAACAAAGCAATATCAATTACTGCTTAGTTTCTTTTGTCATGTTTGTAGCGCCTTGTTGGGTTATCATCATAATTATCTATGCATTAATTATGCTGCTTATCTATAGACATAGCTATGCATCTATTTATCTGTTCCCATCCATTTATGTAGAATTTGCACACAGAACGACTTAATTAAAAACGTAGTGCTCATTAAATTGAATGCAATTTCTCAAGCAAAATGCCAGACAACGAAAGCGTTGCACCTGCCCAGCATCAGACACAGACAAAGACTTGGACGACAGGATGATGCACTCGGTTGTGTGTAGGGTAGGGAACCCGGGGGGGGGAGGGGGGGGGGAGTGGCGTGGCGTTGTGTTGATGACGACGTTGATGATGACATTATCTCATGCTCATTGAACGCAAATGTGGCGTTTTGTCGCACACCATAAAAGAGGAAGGGTGCAACATCAAGAACAAAGAGCCCAAGTATAAAGCATAAGAAATGGGAAAGAAAACTGCAACCGAATTTTCTGACGACAGTTTTTGCCAGACGTACATTTTCCACGGCAATGCTGAGAACGCCCCCCTCCCCCCCAAGTCTATTTGCCTTATGTCATAGGTTTATTGTTGTTTTTTGGTTAAAAATGCTTTTGTAATAAACCACAACAACAAAACCATGTGCAATCGGAGCTGCGGTCTCGCTCTTCTCAGAAAAGGAACTAAATTAGGACAGTGTCTTAGTTCGAATAGAGGAAACCAAAATAACCTGATGTGTAGTTATTTTCAGTAATTTGTAGGTGGTAATAATATACATTAATATATTACTGACATATACTGTCATCAATGTTTTCTTCTTTCTTCTTTCTTTTGAATTTTGATCTTTTGAATATAATTATTTTTATGTTTCTATTTATATTTATTCTTTTATACCTCTAACTTGTTTAGAATTTAAAAATAAGATTGCGGAATTAATTAATTCTTTCTTTTTGTGCGTGTTCTTTATTAGCGCTCATCCAATCGTGCATGTACACAACTGTTTGCCCCTCAATTACGGATTGGTATTTCGATTTATATGCATGTGTGTATCAATGTGTATGTAAATAGCTATGACTAAGCTTAATTCACTTTGAAAATTGAAAATAACTAATTTGTAAATAATGCCCTTATATGCGATTCTCATGAATTCAAGTAACACTGCCAGATTTTATGCTTTGATTATAAGTAGTATATAGACACACCATATTGACATTCTAGCGAGCATTATTTTTGAATGCATGCATATGTATGTGTGTGTATGTATATATGTGGATACATGTATGTATGTGCATATCTATATATGAATGTATATTGATGTATATGTGTATGTATGGTATGCTTTTATATTAAATCCTGATAAAGCTAGCTCCCTGCTGGGCTCCAATTCAAAAAAAATCGTTTTCAAATATCGCCCTACTCTGCAATTCTCATTAATTCAATTAAGACTAACAGGAAATATATAAAATTGTTTTTGCATTCTTATAAGCCTTAGTTTAGATTAAGTTTTTCTTTTTCTCTTTTTCTCTTTGGTTTAATTCTCTACTTCTTTTGCTTTTCTTTCCCATATTTGATATTTTTTATTTGCTGATTTTATTTAAAAACTCTTCTGGCTATATATTTTTTAACATTTTAGAGTTGTGAATAACCTAATAACATATTTTTTTATAGACCTTAAGTCAGTATAGATGTCGATGTATTTAAATTGTCTTGTAGTTGCCACAAATGTTAAATAAGTATACAATCCACGCAACGCTCAGCTCACTACTCTATTAACCCACTTTTTTGTGGTGCTGTGGTGCAATCTGTGTTGAGTTCAGTTCAGTGGCTTTTTTTCTTTCTGTTGACATAATTCAAGGAATGCCAGCCACAAAGTTTGCCGGTCAGGTTTTTTTTATTCTTTTGTTAACGAATTAAGTCAGCGAGCTTTGGGTGCATTTAAATTGACTTTAATCGTGGGTAGAGCCCCGCCGCCCTGACCATTAGTCGCATCCAATGGCAGTCGCTCTATTTGTGTCTCTTTCTCAGTCTGGCAGCGTTTACGCCAAGTACTTAACAACTTTAATGAGCGGCGGGAAAAAAACTGCCGAGCGCCCAAAGTAGCCAACGCGCACTTAA